ATCTAAAGGTTGACCATACAAGATGCAAAATAGGTCCAAATCTCACCTCCCCACAGAGCCGTCTTCGTTGGCTAAATTAGAATAATTAGGCACGATCGATTCATATGGATATGCAGACATGGGTAAAAAAGTCCTGTCAAGCACGCCGTTAAAACGTTCACATCCATGAAACACCACAGCACAAACTTCTAAACCAAAAATACGAAAATCTAAATCCGATCAATACAATTTTCCCCAAAAAATCATAAAAATTCCCCATCGGTATAATCAACCATATATTCCCACGCTGCATATAACCTCAATAGACCTATCCTGAAGATCCAACATATGAACCTCGATTGCTGGATCGTTCTTGAAGGTTATAACAACCAACAGGCGGCGGCGGCGCCCTTGTGCATGCGTGCAAGGTCCACTTCCTCATCTACTCCGCGTCGTCACCCACATATACCAACTCGAACGGCCAAAGCCTCTCAAGAGTTAAATTCCTCCCCACACTTCTTCTCGCCGACTGTGGGTCACCGTATAAAGCCATCTTATCTACCCAAATTCTCATCAATCAACCAGATGCAACTTGAATTCCAAGACGACAGCACGCATGCACACCAACAAAAACGCTCCACCCCACATAGCATCGCTCCACTCATCCCTGTCCCCTACTCCACCGCTACCACATTACTAATTCCAACTATGCTGTAAATTCAGATCGATCCGAGACCGAGCGCTCACACTCACATCTACGGACCCATCTCCAGTGAAGTGACGTAATTTCCTAGTGCCTCTCAGTAGAAAAACCGGTGTGGAAAAATATACACGCAGTCCACTACACGTGTGAGTAACATCTCTGAAAGTTGAGGAAAGTCTCATTGGTTTCTGTACACTCCTACCCGAGTCTGTACGTAGCCTTCTACAATTTAGCCTTGGCGATATAAATATAAAGTTCCATAACACAACGAGGGAAAGCCCCAGTAAACGAGTAAAACCAGTGATTACATATCGCGCAACTTCGATGGAGCCGTGTTACGGCTACAATATTGACGCCATCACACGCATCGGAAACTACTTCCATATGGAGCCGTGTCACGGCTACAAAATTGACGCCATCACACGCATCGACAACTCGATTCATACAAGCTATCGCGATTCCATCCAAAACGAGTACCTATTATAAACAGTGGCAACATAGCAACATTAGTTTAGTAAGAAATGGATGTATACATAAAACTGCGGAGCGAACGAAGCAAGAGGATCATATACCGCAACAACAGGCACTTCCGCGTTGTGCGTGCGTGCAGAATTATTCTGGCTCAACTACGGAGCGTAGGAGGCCATCAGATGGATCACACGACTCCTCTATGTGCCAAGGTTTCCGCAAAATATCGAGAAATTCGATTTCGCCAACAGCTCAAAGAGATATGTACGAAAACATTTTTTGACAGAAAACTGTCCTACCCGGGGATCGAACCGGGGACCTATGTCAAATTCATTGATTGAATCAATAGACGTGGACTAAGCGAGCTCCGCCCCTTCGTCGCGAAGGCCTAGTAGTGGGAGTTCCACCCTAGTGATATGAAAGACACTAGTGGAAAATATATTTCACGACTACTGCATGTCACCGCGAATAATATCGCGTTTTTCACCGAGTATTACGCCACTTCACGTAAAACGGGTTGTGAAACTCCATTACTCCCTATTATAATGGATAACTCCAATTAACCACAGACGGTGCCCAGCCAGTACTACCATCCACGTAAATGAATAACCACTCCTTCTTCAATTCCAAGGTCATAATCACCAACATGTTGGCTTTATTCTTTCCTATCGCGACGACCGCCAAAAAATTCAGCCAGGAAATTTCATGACAGACCCAAAATTCACCAAACGGATCTGTCCAAAGACATCCACGAGAATCCGCAAGAGGATCTGTAGAGATTCACGCCCAGCTTAGAGAAGTAACGTTTGTGGGGAAAATTTTCCTAATATGATTGCATTCATATGCTACATATGAACACATGTGAAAAATCCAAGATGAGCTCCCCCTCGGTATCATTTCAAGTCCCTGAATGCCATCCTATCTGAAGCACATCCAACTCAACCTCAACAGAGAAAAGGAAAAGTTGGGATAAAGTAAGAGGACCGAGTTCGCACCCCTGCAGATCTTCTCAAGCTACGACAGTACTCGAAACAATCCACAATCACAATGCCTGAAATGAAGTATGCTGGGATCGAACCCACGACCGGCCGCATCAGAGGCCAACAACCTAACCACTAGACTATTCAAACACTGTATATCACTTTAATGCTTTTTAGTCCCACGGAACTTCGCCTTCTTCGGCTTTCCCGAAGGATGGGCTCCAAGTGGCGGGAACTGATCGGTCGAGTTCAAATCCACTGGCTCTTCCTTAGCCACTTCCGGGGCCTGCTCACAAACCAACGATCCCAGGTTCAAGCCCGGCACCCTACATTTATTACTTTCTCTCCCCATCCCCCTTCACGACGAGCGAACAAGAACGACTTCGCTTCTACAACAACAACATCATACACTGCAATCACTACTACTACTACTACTACTACTACTACTACTACTATTACTACTATTACTACTACTACTACTACTACTACTACTACTACTACTCACCTGGAGTTGGCTCGTTCTCCTTCTCATTCCCAGGCGACTGTACAGTGACAACATCCTTCCTAGCATCTAAGATCACCAAATTCCAACTACTACCAAAATCGTCCAAAAACGAATTTAATCGCTTTGCATTTTTAATGTTAATATTGCATCACAACAAGACTGTTGATTAACATATAACCATATAACTTAGTAAACATATAACTTTCTAGAGATAAAATATAACCTACTTAGATCCTCCTCGATCATAGTAACCGCCTTCTCAACCGCCGCGGGCAATCCCGTGATAGTGACCTGATGATGGAATAAATCCCCTTCTCCACTCACACCGAAAATTCTACACAAACACGAACCGACTAATTTTCGATAACCATACAATGTCCA